ACCTTTACATTGTCACCAAGCCAAACTACCTTCTCAGCTTCCCTTGAATCTCAGTGCAATCCTGTGGTTAAATCCTATACAGTAAAATATAAGCAAAAGTGTTATGTGAGTGTTCTGGGAAGTTTCCTTGGGGGTGTGGAATATGATAATGTGATGGCTGGAACCTCTACTGCCCTCTTGGACCATGAGAACAAGGGCCACACCTTCAAGATAGCTGAGTGCAAGCAGAAAGGAGTTGGGTCACTGATGACTGCTGGAGAGTCCACATCAGCCCTGAACTGCATGTATTCAGGCTTCTTTTATGTGAGAGAGAAATACATGTCCATCTTGTTTAAGCAAATATTTAGCGGGGTTGGGAGTCTGTTAATTGCAACTGAACCTAAACCTAACTGATAGTCCCTCTGACCCAATAAGCTGTGATCAAAGAGTAAAGGCACAGGAAATGCTGTCCACATGGTGGATCCCCCAGGTCTGAGCAGATTTCCCAGGAAAGGGAGTCTGGGCACATCAGGCAGACCATTTGGAGTATCAACTACAATGGCTGAGTTCTATTGCCAGACAACTTGGGTCTGTGGGAAGGAAAATACTGAAACATATGAAAAGTTTCAGGGTGGACTGATGCCGTAGAACATGCACCAGGGTAAAAATTATAATTCAAAGGGAACAGGCTCTGTGAAGTGCAATTGTGGGTATCATGGCTGCAGGCCAGGTCGGCAGGTGCCCCAAGCAGATGGAAGTCAATAGTACTGCTAATAACTGAAGAAATATTGCTTATATTTTTAAGGAATCTGGTTAACTCATTCCCTTTGGCTACCTAGGGCTATGATTTATAGGCAGCAAAGTCACTTGGAATAATAAAGCCTCTAGGCCAGGTGGCAAACCCCCGAGATTTTTCAAGAAGAAAGGGACCATTTAAACATTTTAATAAGCTTCACTTTTTGTGAGTGAATGAAATCCTGAGGAAACAGGTTTCAAATGTGTCTCCATCATTCACACCCTCAAGAAGAAAGATGAAAGGAATCAAGAAAAAATACTGAATAAGTGGTACATTCATTTCAAATATTTGACAAGTTTTGAAAATCCTGGAACAGGTTTTCAAGAACTACGACTTCCAGAGGATACCAGTCCCACCATCCTTTGCTTCCTTTTCTCTATAAGCTCTTAATTGATTGAGAAAAATTGGTTTGAACATTAGCTGATCTGAATGCATCTATTCAATAAAAGAAAGAATATATGTCACTTTTAAAAATATCTTTTCTTCCATACAACTGTGACCAACTGGGCTATGGCCTTTCTGTTTAACTTCTTTTTTTCCTAAGCGAATAAAATTCTAAAAGTCTGTGCATAACCTTTCGCTGCTGAAGAAGCACCATGCTGGCAATGACAGTGTCTCAAAGCAGCCTTGTTCCTCTGGGTCACAGGCACAGCAGGCACAAACTCAGCCACAAAGGCCAGACACTTGAAAGTGGGGATTTAAGAAGGAAATCAGATGTTCTCTATGTTCAGAAAAAAATAAAAGATGTTCTAAGACAGAAAATGGAAAGAAAAAATAGTCTGTTCTCAGGCAGATATCACCGAGTAAGACCTCAACTTATATAAACATGAAATCTTTGTGGAAATAAACGAAGACCAGCTGTGATGGTGAATTTTATGTGTGTCAACTTGAGTGGGCTAAAGAGGGCCCAGACAGCTGGTAAAACATTATTTTGGGGTGTGTCTGTGAGGATGTCTTTGGAAGAGATAAGCATTTGAATCAGCTGAGTAAAGAAGATTGTCCTCGCCAATGTGGATGGGCATCACCCAGTCTGTTGAAGGTTGAGTAGAATAAAAAGGTGAGGATGGGCAAATTTGCTCTCTGCTTGAGCTGGGACATCTATCTTCTCCTACCCTGGGACATCAGCACTCCTGGCCGTCAGACTCAGACTAGAGCTTAATCCACTGGCTCCCTTGGTTCTCAGGCCCTCAGGCTTATACTGACACTGCACCACAGGCTTTACTGTGTCTCCAGCTTGCAGACAGCAGACTGTGGGACTTCTCAGCCTCCATAATTACGTGAGCTGACCCCTCATAAAATCTCTTTCTGTATACCTATGTATATCTCATCGGTTTTGTTTCTTCAGAGAACCTTGACTAGCACAGTAGCCTAATGAGAAAAGCAAAGGCTATTTCTTGAGAGCTTGTTATAGTAAGGGAGCAGGCACCAACACTTGTGTTTGGCAGAGACTCAAAGGCAGGCAGAGGAGTGAGAAAATTTCACAGTAGAAGGAGACTTCAGATATGCCCTGATTGTGGACTGTTGGCATGGGGAAGCTGTAGGTAAGTTAGCTAGAAGTGGGGCATCCTACATGATTGGTGAGGGGGCATTCGTTGCTTTCTCTGCTTGATCCTAAGTTAGACGTGGAGACAAAAATTAGAGAAGCTGTAAGTTATTAATCAAGTCCTGGTCATTTTGTGCCAATTCCTAGAGAAGTTATTGTTTAGCTTTCTAGATTGTTACTAGCGATAGTGATCTGTCTTCCTACAAGTCTGACATATAGCAGGCTGGCTTCCTGTGTTGTTTATTGCAGATAAGAAGATTCATTTCCTGGGCAGGTTGCTGCAAGTTGTGAGTAAGAGTTCTATTTTTACATATGGTCTGGCCATTGCCAATTTATATATTCAGTCTCTCATCTTTCAGACAAAGACAGACAGCTATCTCTGAGCCGCTGAACTACAGCCTGCAAGGTGATTCCCAACATTTCTAGAAGAGACATTTCACTCCAGGAGACACCAAAATATAGGCCACCTTGTCCAGGAGTGCCTAAAGTCACACCCACTTAAGTGAATATGTCCCTCTTACCCTGATGCACCAAGATGGCAAAGAAGGAAGGTAAGGATACTGGTTATGGTAGCAGCAAAACCCTACAAAGAGAGGAAGGAAACAGCACTCAGTGCTTCTCAGCCCTGGATGTCAGTGTGTCAGTGGACATCTTTGAACAAAGACTGATGCTGTAGCTCTGCCCCACCCCAAAGATTCTAATTTAATAAAGCAGAGCTGGGCATCAGTATTTTTGCAAAACTTCCCAGGCGATTTTAAGGTGCAGCCCAGATTGGCAGCTACCGACCAAAATGAATAACCTTTGAGAGACACTGAGAGTGAATATTTAGCAATTACTGAAAATGAATCAGGGCATGCAGCCATGGCCACTTTCTCAAGAAGCCTCCAATCTTTTAGTCTTGCAATGTTGAGCTTTAGAAATAGAGAATGCAGAGTGAAGTTAAACCAGAGTAGCACATAGGCGGAGAGTGGCAACCTACCTACCCAAAGTGAAAGTGCTGCAGGGTCTAAACCGTGGGCATAGGAAAAAATGAGTACCCTTAAAACTGCTGTCAAGTGACTGAAATACTACTTATTTTGAACAGTATCCTTTATTTTTATTTTTAACCATTAAAAAATTCATTCCCTCCTTTTTAAAATGCTGTTTTAGGCAGAGGCTGTGGGCTGCCCCACCCCCACCTGCAAGAACATCTTAGAAAGTATTTATTAGCCAAGTGTGCTTCTTTGGGGTGTGTGACTTGTCTGCTCGTGTCCTTCACCAAATTTCTGTTCGGATTTTACTAATTCATTTTTAAGAGTTCTTTATGCATTAAGGATGTTAATCTTTGTGTGTTAAATTCGTTCCTTATCAATTGACTTTAAATTCAATTTGTGATGTTTTCCTTCATTTGTATGTTGAGAAAATTTTCTATCTAAATATTAAATTTTTCTTAAAATGCCATTTTATCTTATATTGTTTTTCACACATTATGTGTGATGCATATGTGTGTTTTCAGCCTATCTAAACTTATACATTTCTCAAATACTTTAAACAAAATTCAGAATAATTGCATTTGGGGTGTATAAACTCCAAAACCTCCATAGAGTCACACACGTGATATCAATTTTTTATTTCTATTCATTTCTGAATTTTCAAATGTACCAATTTGATACACCACCACCCCCTAGTGGAAATCTCTAGAAAAGATGCCATATTTTATTTATTTTCATTTTTTTGTTTAATTTTTCTTTGCCACATTTGATTTAACTTGAAAATTTTAATACTGCAAGAGACAGGATTAAGATCATCTAAGACACTGGCGAGCCTCTCTTTCTACCAGCAGAATGTTCTCTTCAAACACAATCACGTGCAAAAGCTCAGTGAACAAAACAGTAAAAACGGAGCTGTGCTGGGAGCTTCCTCTTTCCCACATTGTCATTGCCACGCCCACATTTCCTTCCAAATGTCCAAAATAGAACTTGTTATCCACAAACATAAGTCATTTTCCCTGAAAACTAAAATTAAAATTAAATCCATTCCTCCTCAAGCTTTCTTATCTCAATGAATAGTACCTCGTTTGCCATTTACCCCAAGCCAAAAACCCTCCTGAGGATTCATAATACACATGAACATATTAAAGGCTCTGAGTAGGTAGAACTTGTTATCCACAAACATAAGTCATTTTCCCTGAAAACTAAAATTAAAATTAAATCCGTTCCTCCTCAAGCTTTCTTATCTCAATGAATAGCACCTCGTTTGCCATTTACCCCAAGCCAAAAAGCCTCCTGAGGATTCATAATACACATGAACATATTAAAGGCTCTGAGTAGGCCTGAGTCAAAAGAAATTCCCAAATTCATTTTATCATGAGACATATTCTCCTCCTCTCCAGAATGTTAACAATCTGCAGAATACTCCTTGGTTATATTTCATTCAGAATGATTGTTCCATCTTAATTAGCAAATTAGCTCTTTGGTTGCACATGCTATTCAGCCTTCAGAAATGCGTAGGCAAAGTCAGCCATGCAACAAGCCAGATACTCGATCGTGGCAATGGAATGTACCACCCTTAGGTGATTGGATCCCAGGCAGCTATTGAACTGATAACACACCCACAGGCAACTTCATCTCTGTCTTCTACCATCATTAGAAGGGCGGAAGAGGCTGCCATTAATAATAGCAGTAATCACACCTTGTGGTCAGCCATGCAACAAGCCAGATACTCGATCGTGGCAATGGAATGTACCACCCTTAGGTGATGGATCCCAGGCAGCTATTGAACTGATAACACACCCACAGGCAACTTCATCTCTGTCTTCTACCATCATTAGAAGGGTGGAAGAGGCTGCCATTAATAATAGCAGTAATCACACCTTGTCTTCAACTAAATGTAGTAAGTCTACCTTGTGTGATCACTGCGTAATTTTATTTAGAGGGATTATAATGTTCATTTGGCTATAACATAAAAGGATCATGGGCAGCCCTGCAATCAATAGTGATTAAACCGTTTTCTGTACGATATCTCCTCCTGTGGATTTATGAGCTAAAAGATGTCAAAATCCCTATAGCTTCCAGCATTCGTGTTAATTAGCATAGATTGTTGGACATCAGATCTAAAACAAATCTTCCTCTATGACAAGTATTTTTAACAAAAAATAGAGCTTATGCCCTGTGTCATTAGTACTAGATTTCCTACATCTATATGTTGCATCAGTTCTAATTTCTGAAAACAAAGAAATCTCTTTTCATGCAATGGAAAAATTATTTGAACCTGTTCTGGTGCTTAAATTTTGCTCTGATCAATCGTCTCTGGGGTCATTTGCCGTCATTTACTGTCATCTACATCTTTGACTTGGGAGTAGGGGTCCTGAGAGCATGGACACACTCGTTCACCAGCCTGGCGGCCTCCAGAGCAGTGCCCCAGTGTACAGAGACGCCCCCGCTCCCGTGGCCGTAGTTGTGCACCACAGGCAGCCTCCGGCCATCTCGGGCCAGGAGCTCTTTCTCTAGCCGCACACCTGGCCTGGAGGGCCTCAAGCCCACCTTCTCTCTTATGCTGCGGGCTCCCTGGAGGGAGGGCTCCAGAGCACAACATCGGGAAAGAATCTCTCTGCTCGTTCCTGCATCTGGAGACAGATTCCAGTCCCCTTTTTGCCTAGTTCCACCCAGGATGACATGGGATACACCAGGATAAATGTACGTCAGCCCACTCCCATCTCGGATAAAATGCTTCACCCAGGGAGCCTGAACTTGGAGCACTTGGCCCCTTACAGGGAAGATCTTTGAGTCTCCTGCAAGCTGTCTGCTTCCAAGGCCTGAACAGTTGACCACAATGTCAAAGGACGGATGAAGCTCCCACAGGTCTTCTATTCGCCGGGTGAGCATCAGGCCTCCACTTCCTTTTACCCTGGGGAGGAGAGACCATGAGGTGAGCCTGAGTAGCCTCCTGCTCAGCCACTTCCAGGAAGTGAAGGGCAGGAACATGGCAACGAAAATGAGGCGCCAATCTGCTGAACAAACACCTCCAGCGCTTCCCGGGCCCACATAGGCCAAATGCTAGCCCACAACTGCCTCCCATCCTTGGAGACTGGAGATTCCCGAAGTTGAACCTAAAAAAAAGACCCTATTTTGAAAAATCAAAACAAAGGAAATGTATGCCTTGCCCTTTTTATATTTTGTGGAATTTCTATATCATTCTAGATGCTAAATAAATACCCAGTTAATCTGCTATTTTAAAAGCCAAACCACTCATTTAACACCTGAATTTATGGCCTTCAACATTGTGTCTCACATTGTTAACTCTCGCACGTTCCTTTGTATTCGTCTGTTCCCCCTAACCACATAGTTGGAACAGGGGTCACCACGTGTCCTCCCCTCACGCCTACCACAGGGCTGTTAGCACAAGAGAACACAAAACACTTGCAGCTGATAGACTCAATGACAGCTGTGGTTGGTAATGATTTTGGGGGCTAAGAATATCAATAATGAAAAGAAATGGCTTATCAAGGTCCTGTAATCTTTTTTCAAAAATTGTGGTGCAATATACATGACATAAAATTTACCGTTTTGACCATTTGAAAATCTACAGATCAGTGGCATTAAGC